CATTGGCAAAAATGCTATGCATAATTGATCGTTAGTAAAATAGAAATTGAAACCACAATGAAATTCCACTACGCCTGTTGGGATGACCAATATATAAGTGGTTCTTCTATAATTTATTTTCCTTCAAATGATTGTGATTAGGTTGTTTTCCTTCAAGAGTCTCTATTGGTCCAAGATTAACAAGGTATATATTGTGGTTTTCTAGTGCAGATGTTGTAGTCTGAGCTCAAGTTTTAAGTAATGATTTGAAAAGTATTAGGTTTTAGGATTGACTTTTTTTCTTTACTACTCTGTAGGTTTTCCACTGAAGTTCAAGATATATACTTTATGTCTTATTGATGTAGAATATATATATGTTTTTTTAATGCATGGATTTTAAGTACACAAACATGATTTTCAGGATTTTAATATATTCACTCAACTGTTTCCAAATGATGTTTATATGAGTTTTCTTTTTTTATTTTTTGAAATTAAAACTGTTGCATGCACAGGTGCTACATGAGCAGGTTGGTTACCCAGGTGTAATTCGTGATGCTGAGGTTTGGGTATTATTGATTCTATCACCCAGGTACTAGGCATAATACACAGTCATTAGTTTTTTTTTTAACATTTTCCCTGCTCCTTCCCTCCTTCCGCCAGTAGTTCCCATGTCTATTGTTGCCATCTTATATCCATGAGTGTCCATTGTTTAGCTCACACTTATAAGTGGGAACGTGCGGTATTTGGCTTTCTGTCCAATGCAGAATATTTTTAAACAGCAAAAATTATTTCAATTTGAGGCAAGGAATCAAAGAATTATAACTTAGTAAGGGTTATGTTATTGTATTTGCTTCATGGAAAGCAGAGAAACCAGCAATTTTTCCAAGGTGATTCCACATTATAAATTTGCGTATTCCAGTATAGATGTGAATTAAACTGATTATTAAAGAATATGCTTGGATAAAGAGTAAACTAGTTTGAAGACGGCATTGAAAACATTATCAAGGAGTAAAATTGAAGCTCGAAACTATTTTTTCTTTCTGCCTGCATTCATCTAAAAAAACTGATACTTTATTCACTTCTGATAATCTAAATACAAAGTGGTATCTTTGTCTTTGATCAGTGAACCTTTTAGTAACATTGGCCACTTCTTGGTATAGACTTATCAGTGCTGAGATTTTACAGGTAATGCCTCACCAGCAATCTGTTAGGATATGATATGCTATCAAACATTTACAGAGTAGTGTGAAATTAAGTACAAATTTCCCTTTGCTGAGAGTGCTTGCATTTGATGTCTTTTAATTTTTTGAGAAATAAAAAGTTTGATTCTCAATTAAAAATGTTGGACATGAATGCACAGGGTGGGAAGAATGAAGGCAGATAAAAAAACATCTTCGAGACTCTAAATGTATGCCATGCATGCTGTCTGTGCTCTACCTGTGCCAATTGTATTTATTTTCATTGGCACATTTATTGAATCTAGGTTAAAACATTTTCCATAACTTTTTAAAAGAACATCAGTCGGAATTTTGTATAAATTATCACCCTACCCCACCCACACCTTGACAAGAACTCCTCTGAGTTTTGTATAACAACTTTCATTTGAAAGGACATTTATGGAAAAATAGATTCATGGCATAAATTTCAGCATACACCAAGAAGCAATCTGCCTTCATAATTTAGTGAGTAGTCTAAGTTAAAAACAGAACTTTCAGTGAATTATTGCTCCCTGTAGTCATAATGTGCCTTGTTTCACTGCCCATAAAACAATATGGAAAGTGGCATTATGATGGATCCAGTGGTTAGACCATATGCCAGGATATTTTTCTGAAAATATCTTTCCTTAAATATCTAACAAAACAGGTAGCTCATCTTGGGTTCACACAAACCTGATGCACATGCATCTCTAAAACACTTTCTACATACTTGAAAAGGTCCTAGAGTATAATGAAAGGATAGTAACTTGTTAGCATTATTTCAATAATTAAATAATCAGGAAGTTTGATGGTAGCACTTGTAAGGTCCAAGTGTCTATTTTGTAGTGACACGATCATATCCTTTAAAGGATATATGTTCACAACTTTATTAGGTCTAAATGCTATCATGCCATCTGTGACAATAATTCTAGAGTGTGTCAATTGCTTAACATTTAAATGGCGCTACTCTGGAGCAATAGCAATATTTTCTAAACTAATACAATATTTGAGGAAGAAATCTCTGTTCTATAATGTTAATGGTAATAATAAAAAAAAAGTTAAAAAATTAAAGCAGGAGTCCATTTTGGAGCTGAAAAATTCATTATTTTCTGCTATTCAATAATAGATTAAAAAGATGAATTTATTTTTGAGCTTCAATGCAACTATTTTTAGCTTTGCTTTAGAACAAAGAGGTGAATTCAGAAGTAAGCTATTGCACATATCCTAAGTATTCAAAAGACATTCTAACTTTAGCATGAGGCTGGGCATGTTGCTCACAGCTATAATCTCAGCACTTTGAGAGGGCAATGCACATCTCTTGATCCCAGTAGTTCAAGACTGGCCTGGGCAACCTGGTGAAACCTCATATCTATTCAAAATACAAAAATTAGCTGGGTGTGGTGGTGCAGGCCTGTAATCCCATCTACTGAAGAGGTGGAGGCAAGAGAATCCTTTGAACCTGGGTGGTAGAGTTTGCAATGAGCCGAGATCACTCCACTGCACTCCATCCTGGGTGACAGAGAGAGGCTCTGTCTTCAAATGAAAATAAAATAAAATAATATAAATGTAGCATGAAAAGCTCAACTAAAAGCTTCACTAACTCTTCCATCCATTCCTCTATCTCCACAGCAAACACAGGGTCACCTCTCTAAGGAAGATATAATAAATAGACCTCAAATGAATGAATAAGTGAATAAAATGTTTTCTATAATTTGAGCTACTTTTTTTTAAAAAAGAGCAGTGTTCCAATTATTTTAAGCCCTTCATTAAACTTATGCAATCTGACATTTCTCCCTTCCTATAGCCTCATCTCACCCTCTGCCATCTTCTCTCCAATTGTATTTTTTCTGTCTCCACACCCTTTCCAAGTAACTGTTGAAAATGGAAAACACCAAAACCAGCTTTTAAAATGTTTTATATATTAAAAGAAACTTAGTTCATAATTCGAAGAAAAACTAGTAATTACAAGTAAATTGTTATGCTTCATTTTTTAAAAAGCTACATAGCCAAAAAATAATTCTAACTGGGTATAATTAGTCCCAGGTTTGATCATGGTAGAAAAAAATAAAAAAATAAAAGTAATAAATTTGCTGGATATATGCTACTTAGTTTCTTTTTGGAAACATTATAAAACTATGACAATAATCTCAAAAGTCCTAATTTAAAAGTTTTGTTTTGTTTGTAATGTTATAGAAATTAAGATGATGGGCTTGGCATGGTGGCTTATGCCTATAATTCCAGCACTTTGGGAGGCTGAGGTGTGTGGATCACCTGAGTTCAGGAGTTCGAGACCAGCCTGGCCAATCTAATGAATCCCATCTCTACTAAAAATATAAAAATTAGCTGGGTGTAGTGGTGGGTGCCTATAGTCCCAGCTACTTGGGAGTCTGAGGCAGGAGAATCACTTGAACCCAGGAGGCAGAGGTGGCAGTGAGCATAGATTGGGTCATTGCACTCCAGCCTGGGCAACACAGCGTGACTCCATCTCAAAAAAAAAAAAAAAGAAAAGAAAAAAAGAAAGAAAATAAATTAACATAATGTATGCTGTGTAATAAGCAGTTGATACTTTTTTTTTCATAGTGGATGTATATGATACTCCATGTTGTTAAAAATAAAAGATGACTAATCCATCTTCACATACTATTAAGTTGTGCCAAAATGGTGTACAGATATTAGTTTATTGTGAATAGAATATGAGACATAGATACTTAAAATGAGACATTATTTACTGGGTATAATGAAAATTATTTCAGTGATGGATATATTAAAAGACCTGACATCACCACTACACAATATAGCAATGTAACCACATTACAATTGGACCCTGTAAACTTATACAAATTGACAAATTTTTTTAAGTTATTTGCCTATTGATTACATGCTTTTGGGAGATTCATTTAAGACTCAGAGGTTTACTCATCTGCGGAATAGGGACATTATAAAAATTTTATATCAGGATAATTGTAATTATTAAGAAGAAAATGATAAATCACTGTGTATACTTTAGTAAAATAAACAAATATTTGCTGAGAACAGATTCATTTTTCTTTGTCTGGGAAACTAGGACATTGGTCTCTCAGGTGTATGAGGCTCTTGGCTATTTTCCATGAGATGATCTTACATAAATTCAGCCAAGAAGAAAACATAAATTGCAACTTAAAGGATATAGTGCCAAAAAGCTTGGGTTAGTCCATCCCCATGAGATAGTTAATATGACATATTAGAAAGCATAACATATCTGTAAAGCCCAAATAGCCAAAGTAAACCTAATTAAAAAGAACAAAGCTAGAGGCACCATGTTACCCAATTTCAAACTATACCATAATACCAAGCCACAATAACCAAAACAGCATGGTTCAGGTACAAAAACAGACATGTATTTCACTGAAACAGAACAGAGAGCCAAGAAATAATCACAAGCCTACAGCTCTCTGATCTTCAACTAGCTGACAAAATCAAGAGATGGAGAAAGGACACCCTATTCAATAAATGGGGCTGGAATAATTGGCTAGTGATAGGCAAAAGATTGAAACTGGACCCCTTCCTTATTCCATGTACAAAAATCAACCCAACGTGGATGAAAGACTTAAATGAAAACCCTAGAACTCTGAAAACCTTGGAAAATAATGTAGGAAATATCATTCTGGACATAGGACCAGACAAAGGTTTCATGACAAAGGCACCGAAAGCAGTTGCAACAAAAACAAAAAAATTGACATATGTGACCTGATTAAACTAACGAACTTCTGCAAAGTAAAAGAAACTAGCAACAGAATAAACAGACAACCTACAGGATAGGACAAAATATTTACAAACTTGCATTAGACAAAGGTGTAATATTCAGAATCTATAAGGACTTTAAAGAAATTTACAAAGAGAAAACAGCCCCATTAAAAAGTGGGCAAAGGACATGAACAGACACTTGTCAAAAGAAGACATACACAGGGCCAACAAGTATGTAAAAGAATGCTCAACATCACTAATCATTAGAGAAATCCATAGAAAGCCACAATAAGATAATTTCTCACTCCAGTCAGACTATTAGTAAAAAAATTAAAAAAAAAAAAATCACAGTTGCTGGTGAGGTTGCAGAGGAAAGGGGAAAACTTATAAACTGGTGGTGGGAATGTAAATCTGTTTAGCCATTGTAGAAAGTGGTTTGGAAATTACACTATATAGTGATGAATGGCTACACTATGCAGCCATGTAAATAATGAGATCATGTTCTTTCCAGCAACACAGATGGAGCTGAAGGTCATTATCCTAAGCAAACTAACACAGCAACAGAAAACCAAATAATGCATGTTCTCACTTACAAGTGGGAGCTAAACATTGAGTAAGTATGAACATGAAGGAGGAAATAACACATACCAGAGCCTACTTGAAGGTGAGTGAGGAAGGAGAGTGAGGATAAAAACTACCTACTGGTACTATGCTTATTACTTGGTTGATGCAATAATCTGTACATCAAAGCCCCAAGACACAAAATTTAGCTATACAGGAAACCTATACATATACCTCTGAACCTAAAATAAAAATTAATATAAATTTAAAAATACAGTGAGAAAAGATTTACATACATTTAAATTGTATCATGTGTCATGAAGAACCTAAAGATTATTTAAGTATAGAAGATGTACATAGGTTATATGTAAATACTATGCCATTTTACACTGGGGACTTGAGCATATTTAAATTTTGTTATCTGTGGGGGTCCTGACATAAATCCCTTATTGATTCTGAGGGATGACTGTATACAATATCACAAGCATATGATGCAAAGATGTTCAATGATATTAGTCTTAAGGAAAATACAAGTCAAAACTATAATGAAATACTACTTCACACCCACTATGATACTAACATAAAAATGAAAGGCAATAAATATCAATGAGAATTTTGACAACTTAGAGCCCCATACACTGTTCTTGGGAGTACAAAATGCCGTAGCACTACACTTAAGAAAATGATTTGACAGTTTTTAAGATGTTTAAAAATATGTTTATCATATGACAAGGCAATTCCACTCCTAAGTACCTAAACGAAAAACAAATATCCACATGTGTACTTGTTCATGAATGTCTATGGCAATCTATTTATTTATGTATTTTTTTTTTTTGAGATAAAGTCTCACACTATCACCCCGGCTGGAGTGCAGTGGTACCATCTCAGCTCACTGCAACCTCGGCCTGCCAGGTTCAAATGATTCTTTTGCCTCAACCTCCCGAGTAACTGGCAGTACAGGTACGCACCACCACACTTGGCTAATTTTTATTTTATTTTTGTATTTTTAGTAGAGGCAGGGTTTTCACCATATTAGCCAGGTGATTCTTGAACTCCCGACCTCAAGTGATTCACCTGCCTTGACCTCCCAAAGTGCGCCCGACCCTATAGTAACCATTTAGTAATAGACAAAAAGTGGAGACTATCCAGAAGTCCATAAACTGACGAATGGCTACACAAAACCTGGCATATTTATATAATGGGATATTACTCAACAATCGGAGGAAAGTATTAATACATGCTACAATATGTAGACACATCAAAAAATGTTATGCTAAGTGAAAAAGCCAGGCATTTAAAATATTACAGAATTTCATTTATGTAAAATATCCAGAAGAGGAAAACCTATGGAGACACAAAGTGGATTGCTTGCTGTTTGGTGCTAGAGTTGATAGTGGTAAGTCACTACAAATGTGAATGAGGGATCTTTTGAGTGTGAAAGGAATGGTCTAAATTTGGATTGTGATAATAGTTTCACAACCCCATTAATTTCACTAAAAAAATTAAATTGTTCACATTAAAAAATACACATTTTATGGTATGAAGGTGATACCTCAATAAGATTTCCTAAAATATATGACAAAAGAGCAGCAATGAGTTCTGAATCAACATAGAAATGCCACAGACACAGTAACTGGATGACAGTATGAAGTGTAAAAGGCAGAAAAAAAATTTCATAAAATAAAAGCTGAAAATGCTTCAAATTTGATGAAAATTAGTAACCTACACCTCCAATAAGTCCAAGGATTCCCAATCATAAGAACTATGAAGAGAGCTACATAATACTTATAATCAAACTTCTTAAAATGAATGAAAACCAGAAGAATGTAAGAACAACTCAAATCAATATAAATATTCACATACAAAGAATGTCAGAAAGATTCTCTGTGGAGACAATATGACTAGAAGACAGTGAAACAACATATTTAAAATACTGAAAGAAGGGAGAAAAATTGCCAATCTAGAAATCTCTTCTCATCAAAAAATATCTTTCAAAAGTGAAGAAAAAAATAAACACATTTTACAGACATACAAAAGTTGAAATAGGCCAGGTGCAGTAGCTCACACCTGTAATCCCAGCACTTTGGAAGGCTGAGGTGAGTGGTTTACTTGAGCCCAAGAGGTCAAGACCAGATTAGGCAACATAGTGAAACCCTAACTCTTCAAAACATACAAAAGTTAGCCAGACGTGGGGACAGGTGACTGTTTTCCCAACTACTTGGGAGGCTGAAATGGGAGGATAGCTTGAGTACAGGAGGTCAAGGCTAAGTGAGCTGAGATCACAGCACTGCACTCCAGCCTGGATGATAAAGCGAGACCCTGTCTCAAAAAATAAAACAGAAGTTGAAATAATCTATCACTAGCACTCCTGCAGTATTTGACATTTTAAAGAAAGTCACTCACAAAAAGAAAAATAATATCAGACGGAAACCTGGTTTTCCTCCAAAGGAATAAAAGGAACTAATAATGGTGATTATATAAACATATATAAAAATTAGACTTTTATTTCAATATCTTTTAAATTTTGAGGTTTATAGACAAAGCAATAATAATGTAATTGGGATTTATAACTTATGTATATGGTACATGAAGATATAAAAATCTATAAACACTAAAGGAATCACTAAAATAAAACAAAAAATGAAGGGTAAATGTAATAAGTCAAAGAAAAAAATGGAATAAAAATCTGTAATTACGTCAAAAGAAGGTAAAAAATAAAGGGAAACAATGGATGAGACAAAGAGAATACAGCTTTCAAGATGGAGAGTTTAAACCTAAGCTGATCAACAATAATATCAAATAAAAATAATACGGATAGTACAATTATAAGGCAGAAATTACCTTATTATCAGAAAAAAATAACCACTGGGTACTAGGCTTAATACTGAGGTTATGAAATAATCAGTACAACAAACCTTCATAAATAATCTGTACAATGAATCCCTAAGTTTATCTATGTAACAAACCTGCACATGTACCCCTGAACTTAAAAGCTAAACCAAAGGAAATTTCAACTGTGTGCTATGTATGAAAAACCCACCTTAAATATAAAGATGCCAATAGATTAAGAGGAAAAAGATGGAAAAGCTCTTCTTTGCTATTCCTAAACAATACACTTGATTGTTTATATTAAGTCAACACAAAGTAAATTTTAGAACAACAAATATTACCTGAGATAAAGATGTCATGTAAAAATCATAACAGTATCAATTAAATAAGAGAACTATTATGGACTGAATGATTGTGTTCCACCAAAATCATTTGTTGAAATACTCACAATATGATGGTATTAGGAGTTGAGATGTTTGGGAGGTTATTAGGTCATGAGGCTGTCTCCACCTGAGTTTCAGAAAGTAGCACCAGTGTCCCTCATATCTGCAGGGGCAGGATGCTTACCTTTTAAAGAGAAGAAGACAGGACCACTGCCCCAGTGGGTCTCGAAGGCAGAGCATCAGGAGAAACAAAACTATTCTCAGATAAGACTTCATGGAGTTTGACTGTGTAGGCTTGGGACTTGCTTGAGACCCATCATCCCTTTCTTCCATTTCTCCCTTTTGGAATGTGAATGTCTATCTTACGCTTTTTACACTACTGTCGTTTGGAAGCACATAACTTGTTTGGTTTCACAGATTTACAGCTAGAGAGCAATTTAACTTTTAGATGAATTTTACCTTAAATCTAACTTATATCTGATTTCCATAATATTTAGATGAGACTTTGGCCTTCATATTCTAGAGTTGTTGATGGAAAGAGTTAAGTCTTTTAGGACTACTTGGATAGAAAGAATGTATTTTGCATTTGAGAAAAACATATATTTGGTGGGCTAAGAGAAGAATTTCATTAACTGCATGTTTGTATTCTCCTAAAATTAATATGTTGAAAACTGCTCTCCCTCTTTCTCTCTGCTCTCAGCCACTAGGGAAGCAAAAACAGCAAAATGCAAATCAGGAGGTGAGATTTCACCAGACAGCAGGTATCTGGGGACTTGATATTGAGCATCCCAGTCTTCAAAATTATGAGAAATAAATACTTGTTATTTGAGCTACACAGCCTATAATATATATTTGTAGGCTATACAATATCCATTATTTTCAAGTGCACTAATACATACTAAGGTAGTTAATACTCTGGGTTACAAACAAGTATAAATTCATTCAAAATGTGTGTACTATACAAAGGATGTTCTTTGACAACAATGTAATTAAAATGGAAATAAAAATACATAAAGATAGCTAGAAATACTCTAATCTCTTGAAACTAAACCTTGATATTATGTTTCCAAGTCTCCAGAATTATGATAAATAAATACTTGTTTTTAAGCCACATGGTCTATGGCATATCTGTTATAGCATCCCAAACTGACAGAAACAAGGATAAACAAAATTTCTAAATATTCAGGTACCTAATAAAAGTATTTCAAAATAAATGGAACAACAATTGCCATGTGAATAACAAATTATGCAAATGTTTATAGATTTGATGTTTTAATGCCACACTCTCAGTAATTGGTAGAATGTTGGACAGAAACTCTGTATATAGAACACCTGAACTTGACCTAAATGAGATTTATAA